TTTGATCGAATGCCAAAGTTTGGCTTAGTGTTTTCCTCAATTACTGAGTTTTAGTGCGCCAGGAGTACTTGCCACATGGTCGTACGGTCAATAAGGAGTATAATCTTGAAGTCATACGTCGCTTGCGAGAAGCGATACGTAGAAAACGTCCGATGTTGTGGAAAACAATTCATGGCTTTTGCATCGGAATTTTTTGGCTAAAAACAAAACCGTAATCATGCCTCAGCCACTGTATTCACCAGATTTGCCCCCCTGTGACTTTTCTCTGTTCCCAAGATTAAGAAACCCTTGTAAGGACGGCTTTTCATAACGATTGAGGAGATAAAAACAGAATCACTGAGAAAGCTCTAGGATATACCAAAAAGTGCATATCAGATGAATAAATGAATATTTTTTGGGAAAAATAAAAATTCTCCTCATTTTTTGAACTGACCTCGTATTTCTGTATCCAGCAATCGCAGTCGGAAGCTCAGTACAATTTATCCAAAGTCAACTTCATCATCTCGACATCCTTCTAATTATAACGACGACAAAACTAGCTTGCCTCATTTTCTCCAATCATAATGTTTCCGGAGCAACCCACTTGGGAGAAAACCATGGAAAGGGATGAAATTCCACACTTTCACCTCCTTTCCGGGCGTGCTTTCATCTTGTCAACAAAATGCGACACAGAGATATAGTTTCATCAGGCTCTCGGATAGTGTTTGTAGTATGGAACATGATCATGAAGAAGAGGATGTATCTGACTACTTCACATATCTACATTAGTGCAGAAAGGTTGGAAATATAAAGATAGCGGGCTTTTTATGTATTTTAACTTCACTAGAGGGTGTTAGTGCCAAGATTTGTTTTTTTATTTCATCCCTTTGTACCTACATTTCCATTATGCGCTCTTTCTTCTCATGAATTTTATGTTTTGGAAACCTCTAGATTTATTTGACAACTCCGCAATCAACCTCCAGCATGTTTTTGCAGGGTCATCCGATGCAAAAATTCTGTTTTGATAATGTTTCTCTTGGTTTTTTCTACTAAGGCTTCATGTTTCTTTTTTGAGATACGATACGAATCTGAGAATAGTGGGTTATATTTTTGTAGTACGTAAAGATCACTGAGATTATTACTGGACAAACTAACTTCTTCAGTAATCCAATACTTTTTATTAATTTTTTTATTTTTCTTTTGTGGAAAATTTTCATTGTAATGATGCTTCTTGTGTGAAGTATCGTTTCGTTGTAAGACTTTCCATGTGTTCGTTTTCATGCTATGGAAATTCATATAAGATTGTTCTATGATCATAGTAAAAATTGTCAACCACGCAACATATTCCTTTCTTATTTGAATTTACAAATATTTGATCTATAATAGTACATGTTTCCAACGTTATTCGTGTTGAGCTTTTATTGCTGTTATTGCATAGGATACTCGCTAAGAGCGATAACTTATAAGTTGAATAATTGTCAAAATGATCTAATAACACTTTTTAATCAATTTATATAGGTGCACATTTATTTTATATGCTTGTGTGTACTTCTACTTATATTTTATTTCTGTTCTGTGTATCTTTTACTTTGTCAACAAAACTAGACTTTTTTGACAGTAAAGTATATTTTGATTTGATTTGCCAACTTTATATGAATGAAATTTTCAAAAAAAGTATTGAAATACGCCTGTGATATTGAAAACTTACGTTCTAATTTCTTTTCGGGAAAAGGTACAAGAGATCGACCCCTTGACCTCTTTAACCGCTGGCACAGCAGGCCGCCGGATGAATTTTCAGTCCTTCGCGTAGGCATTACTCCGTGTCCAGATTCCGGATGCGCATCTTCAATCTTTTAAAATGATCTAACCCACCTCCAAATGAAGAATTCAAGGTGAGATGGATCATCATCTCGACGAGATGCCTCGCTAAAAGGGTCATCGAAACTTCAGGACACAAACTAAATCAATAATCCACCTGCTTACCCCAAAACCAGTGGCGGGGATATATTTGCCTCGTTTTTCTGTTGCTATTTCGATTTAAGAATGAAAATTTCCGTCGTTTTCGTGCCTTTAGAATCTTCTTCCAGTCGCTACTTTCCATTCCGTCGATTGAGACGCAATCTTTGGATTGGAATAGTAGGGAAAATGTGAAATCGAATATTTTCACTACATCAATTAAAGTGAAGTTGTACTAGACTTTGAAAGAACTCCAAATCTATTTTTCGAAAAAGGAGAGACCATCACTAACACCGCACCACAGAGCCCCCTCACCTGCATGGACTACCCAAAATCCCCAACAATGGTGTTTCGCTCGAAATTCAGCCAATCAAAACTTTTCCAGATTTTCACTTCCAATTACGCAAACACTACAAGGAAAAGCTTCATCTTTTGTAAAGGATTGAAGGCATTTTGTTGGAATACTAGAAACAATACACAGAACAATATTAAGCACTTCAAATCATCCAGGGTAAGTGCTGTTTTCAATTGAAGTGCGAATTCTTCACCCAAGATGAGGGACTGCCAATGGGATCGCCAGTTTCACCAGTTACAGCCAACATATATATGGACTGGTTTGAAACTTTGGCCATTGAAAAAGCCCACAAGACGACCCGAGTCTGACTGAGATACGTTGACGACACCTTCATATTATGGAACTATGGGAATACAGAACTAGACACCAGGCCACCAAAAAGGACGGCGATTCCAAGAATTACATTAACTAGATACCATGTAAATGCGGCAAATTCAATATCTGTGATAATTAAGAGGCCATTGAAAGTTCGCATTGCCGAGCACAAGAGAAACACAGCGAGGAGAAACCGGCAAATCGCCCACAAGGAGGAACACTGGTTCAAGAGGAATTTTACAGAAGCTACATATATATTATTCAACAACCAATTCACCAAAGCTAGCTTAGACATATGCAACAAATGGGAACCTGTAATCGATCGGATAATGATCAACTTCCGCTTGAATGACCTTTGAATAGTTATCTCTCGGAGGAATAGTCCAGCCATCACTCGAAAGCAATTGTGGATACTAAGAATCGAATTGTCGTGAAGTAACTTGGTTTGGAATCTTCTTTATTTTGCATTTTGCAAAAAAACTCGTGGGTGCCCCATTATCTAAACGATCGACAAAAATTGTCGCGGTATGGTCTCCTTTGCTTTTGAGCAACCTAAAAAAACTCATCCAAGTGAGGCCTTATTTAAAGAAGCAAAAATAGAACCAATCATTCACTCCTACAAAAGGGAAACTCTTCAAATGCACCTCGATGTGACAAAACTGTAGGACAAATAAACGCAACATATCTCGGACCACGCTTGTACCAAATATTACCAGGAGGAATAAAAAATATCAACAGTTTCTCTATGTTTGAAAGAGAAGTAAAGAAATTCATTCTGAATACCGAAAGAACTTTTTTTCTGACTTCATTAATCAAACTATTCCAACCAGCAATTTGACCTAAGCAATTATTGAATAGATGAAAATAACTATGTATTCTGTCTGCAACTACTATTTATGTCATTAGATGTATTTATCAATTGATTGATCACTCATTATTTTTTAATGAAATGTGAATGAAATGTGAAAGTATTTATACTCTTAATTCACAACATAGTCTCATCACGAACAAGCTATAGATTTCTATGGCTTCAGTAATTATCTTGTTTATTTTCGATAGCACTCCATGTAGTTCATATCAGTGTATGAGAAAATAAACATTATTATTATTATCGTAGTTTGCGCTGGTCAGGCCCTATCCCCCGAAGCCCCCATACACCGGAAAAGCTCGCCAGCATTATCAACCAATGACCACTCCCCACACCGTGGGGTAAGTGATCATTGGCTCTGAGAATCATGTGCCCTGAGCAAGCGCAGCGAGCCAAGAATGACAGCCTTCTGCATCTGCACGGCTAAGATTTCTGCCTTAATGCGGCAAGCCGGTATGATTTTAAGATGCATTCCACCAAGGACTCCAATACTCAGAACAACCATTTTGACAGTGATCTGGATAGAGTCTGCGAAGTTCGAAGAGAAAATCTCGAAATTTTATCCATTTTTCCTCCTCTTTTCGGACCATATTTGCCTCGCCAGGAGCTGAAAACTCCACGACAAATATCGTTTTGCTCAGGCTTATTAGCTTGTATGAGCCTGAGAGTGGAAAACGAATAGTTCCAATAAATTCGGCACTTCTCGTTCCCCACAACCGTAAGTGTGCCGTAGATGGTAATAAAGCATTCTTAGGGCCGCGTTATGTCGATGGATATAGGCCAAAACCGCATATGCTGAACATGCTAACAGCAAGTGTATGACGGTCTCGCGCGCCTCGTGGCAGGCCCTGCACCTTGTGTCAAGAACCTCTATACCCATCACGCGTCTATGAATCCCTCAGTTTCCGACTTCAGCCCACTCAACCTGAGAAAAGCGACCGTCAGGCGCTTTGATAAGCCAAGGTCTCCAATGTTATTGAAGAAGACCCCATACATTGGCTTATCCTTGTGTTTCCGCAGAAGAAAGGTGTGGATTTTATCTGAGCTTTTTGCTGAACGGGTTCCAAATCGGTGACAGAGTTGTGGTCACCCCGTACAGTGTCGAAAACTATACCGATTTCATGCTCACGGACCATGCAGAAAAGGGGATCCGAACTCCTGATGACTTTACAGGCTGTATCCAGTAGCATTCTGTCATGTAGACACTCAAAAGTCCACGACCTCCCTGTTGTCGGGAAAAGTACAACCGTGGAACGGACGATTTGGAATGCAAACTCCTATAGAGATGCTTCATTTTTCGGGTCTTTACGTCGAGTTGATACAGCTCCTCCCGAGTCCACTTCACTACTCCAAACGAGTAGAGTAAGATTGGAACGGCAAGCGTATTTGTTGCAGCAACTTTGTTCTTCCCCGACACTTCCGATGACCAGATCTGCTGAAGTTTCTGCTGATACTTGCCGCGGAGAGATTTTTTCACTGCTGTTACCTCTTGTGAGTAGCGTTGTTCCACCACGAGGTAAGTAACAGCGTGCCGTGCGGGTTGCCTACCTCGGTTTTGTGTTTGTAAAGTAGCCCAAGAGGTCCTGGATTCCTGAACGGATGCCGGCTGGTCCTGATTCCGCGGTATCGAGTGAGGATTTTTCCAGTGGGAATTGAGTGCAGGTGAGTTGTTGGGGGGTGGGTGGATGGGTTGCGAAGGGTTGTTTTTTGCCTCTGGGGCTGATGTCGCTTCTCTTCACATCCGGTTCACCTGTTTGCGTACCTGAGACTGTTTAACAGAAATCTGATTGAGAAATAGGATGAGTCTTGTCTTTCTTCCATGGGAGACGTGATTATATATAGTGAACATCATCAGTATCAATCACCCTCATATCAATAATAATATAAATCACCTAGAAAAGGAATAAATGTGGACACAAGTGATAAACATAAATTAGATAAACAGGCGGATTATCGGCGTAAGCTGTTTTTCAAATCAACCTTGCAAAAATATACAATAGAAAACAAATATATTGAAAATAGGTTGAGTATAGAAGATAAATTAACCAACACAATTATACAAGCCTAATTAAAATGAGTAATATTAAGAGCTCAGCGAAAATCGACATACAGAGCACCATACAGGATTCAAGAAATTGCAAGCGTTTTTTAAATGTCTTCGTGAAGAGTATGAAATCACTGAAATATGAAATGTGTACTATTCGATAGTCGACGTTTCGCCATCATCTCAGATGGCATTATCAAGACGAGTTACTGCTTCGCTTCGAGAGGTGTAACTTACACCTCACCTCACATTGTTGTCACTAACAGGAGCTAACCGTACATTTGTGGTTTCAATTAGAAGACCTAGAATTCCCAGGCATCATCTAACATCACCACGTAGGCAGCTATAGCTACCTGCATGACTTCCGGGTCCAAGATATAAATTCAGAGATACGCGGACACGCGGACACGTGTTTCTGCCTATTGGCCTCATCAGAGCGGTGCAGCCAATTGCTACATTCTCATGTAGCTTCTGTTCACGAAAAAATGCATCGATAGTGATTTAAAAAAAAACATATCGTCCGTGATTATTGAAGCTTTTTGATTTATGACCTTAGTAAATTGTTGAAAATTAATTGAAAAATGATATTTTTTTTATTTTTTCTGCAGGAATATATTCTGATACCTTCCAAAAATAACTTTCAAAAAATGAAAAAAATTCCAGCTTTGTTATTGAACAATTATAACACTTGCCAGGTTCCTGTTCAATTAGAAAGAAATTGTCAATTGACTGATGCATAATTATCTGGAAAATCACGAAAAAAGTGGGCCTGTCGTGCGCAAACCCATTTTAGGACGTATTTTCAGAATCATAAATATTGGTTCTACAGTTCCGAGTGGTACGGCTTTTTTTGAGAAGCTTGCTCCTCTTTCTGAATCTTCTTTGAAATTTGAAAAGTGTCGAATAGTTTTTGAGATATTTGCATAAACACAAACTTATTTTTTTTCAAATCATCTAAAGAAACAATTCATTCAGGCCAGTCTCAACTCCCTACACTGTAGATTAATGGACTGACACCTTTTAAAAAACAACTACTTCCCTGGCTAATACCACGAAGGGCGTTGGATTACATCCGACAGGTTTCAGTGCAGGATTCTTCACTGAAGTTATTCCTCCATATGCTGTTGGCGATAGAACTGCCGCAATAGATTTTCAATTATTGAAAGACACTTGCACAATCAGTGCGAGGTAGTGTCTATCATCAAACTAAACTCGATGATTTCTGATAATTGAAAATCGAATTCTTTCAGAGTATGATTCCTCCAACTAGACTGAAACGGACAACAAACAACAGTTTTATCATCGCCCCATCTCTGGATATAATCCAACACTCTTCGAAGTATTAGCCAGGGGATTAGTTGTTTTCTGATAGGTGTCAATCCATTAACGTACAGTGTAAGGAGTTGAGACTGGCCTGAAGGAATTGTTTCTTCAGATGATTTGATTTATTGCCAGTCTTCAAGTATGTCCCCTGACTATGTGTGAAAAATTATTTTTTTTTCAGTTATTTGTTTTTAACTCTTGTAATTTTTGCGAGCGGCACTTTATTATTCTCAAAAATCATCTGCACGCTATTCCGAGTCGAATGACACCTTGTTCATATTTATCGGAGGCAGAAAAAAAGTTTGACCTGAAAGGCATTCGTTGACCAGACTGTAAGATGTAATTGCCTTAACGTTCTCTCCTTGAATGACGATACTGAGAAACTCCAGCGACACGCTCGCGATTCAGCATAGCGCCACTGATGAGACCTTTGGCAAGCTGAAACAGTGCCGTCTGTTACAAATGCTTTGTTTTTGGGCTCTGGTTTCGACTTGCTGTTTCACAGTGAAAGCTGCAGAGAAAGACAGCTGACGAATCTCGTCAGCGGTCGATGTCGAAGCTTGACTTCGCAACGGAGACGATATCATAGATGACGTCGTCGTAAGGGGGCATATCATCACCTTCGCTCTATGGTCATGAGGTAAAAACAGTTTTGACAATGAGTCGCTTTGAAAAGTTTCGAGACCTGGCTGTATATTCGTGAAAACAGGTTGTGGCTGCTCTGGTGGATGAGTTTCTGGAACCATGCTAGGAATCGTATGTGAGAAGGTAAGACCTCGTTAATCCCTACCTTGCACAAGTTTTGGCATCTGTGAGTTGTCGTACGAATGAAGGCGATAGCTCAGACCGAGGAGACAGTAACTCTCAACATTGAATTTTTCTCACCATTTCAGAATCAGTGTCATATGGTATGCAATTACAGAGCTCTGAAACATATGTTTCCATAAAAGGAATTCCATCTTATTCCGTGATATCATCTCATATTCCTTCGGAAAAGTTTGTAGTCTCAGAACTAGTTGGAAAATATCCAATTTTCATTCCAGAGACTCTTGCGACTCGATAGATACTGAAGTTTCAATTCCCTCGACACCTCAACGACTTATTGATTTCTAACATGTGAAAACCTCCAGAGATATCTACTGGAACTTCTGCTCTACAAATGTGCTTTATTGTAGCGGATCAAATATCCAGGAGATAATGAAAATATTCATTAGCAGTTTCTCATTATATCGTGCTGGGAAGAAAACGGCGGAGGAATTTCACAATGAAAACCGCAAAATGTTGCCTAGGAAATATCTCGGTTATTATAAAAGTTAACTTCCGGAATTTCAGAAAGCTTATTTTAATAGTCTGGAGTAAATATTTACAAGAAAATAATAGTGACTGTATTTTTTGAAAATCACACAGAGCAAATGCTGTGCTCATATTTTCACAGAATCCATGTTGATTTCTGGATAACGTTCTCTGACTCCACGAGAATGATGGGAGTTGATTAGTGAAGTCCGTTTCAATGAGTTCAGAGAGACTTGACAATAAGCTGATGGCTGAATAATTGAAAAAGTCATCAAAATCACCTTTTTTGTAAAATGGCAGAACTACAGTCAATTTCAAACATTCTGTTCAGGATAACAAAGATTGATGAGAAAAGCAATTGGTTCACATAAACCTGCATACGATTTTTTCAGTAGGTTATTTGATATTTCATCAAATCCACTTGAGTTGGAAGATTTCAAATTACCAATCAATATTTTAACATCTACAGGTGTAACTGGCTTTAAGATAAACGACTTTTTTGACACTGGCATATTCATCTTCAGATAATCCCGATCATGCTGATTCATCAAAAATGGTTCTCTAGTGAAATGGATGTTAAACTGCTCAGCCATTTCAGAGGCAGTCATCTGTTTACCATTTTCATCGTGGATGTTGATGGGTATATTGTTTTTAGAACGTCCTTTCAAATTATTATTAATTTTCTATACAGTTTTTGATTTTTTTATTTAATTTCATTATCAAATCATCATTATATTTTTTCTTAGATGTTCCAGGCTTTATTGATATTATTTTCAGTGTAAATATTCTACCATTGTTCATCTTCCAATTAATTCAGAAACTTCGGAGTATTCTGTTCTAAGAATTTTCTCGAATACTTGTATTGTTGAGGAGCAGATTTGAGGCTATATTCAAGTCCGAACTAATGAAAAGACTTTTATGCTTCCCGAAAAAATGATGAAATCAATAATAATCGTCAGTTCTATATCACTCGAAGATATGTTGACAGTTTCAGCTCTTTAGCAAGTTTAGATTGTTGGTGAGAGGCATAAAATCTGTTTAAAATCTGTTTTTCCGTTAACCAGCTGTCGAACCCCTACGAACGAAAACCTTCAGAAATCGAAACTTGTGCGAGTTAAGGATTAACGAGGTCTTATCTTTTAACGTGTGATTCCCAACACGTTGTGTTAAAAATTTTTGTGGATCGAAGATTTTGCATCAAATTTTGTGTAAAAAATGAAATAAAGTGCTCAGAATACACTTTAAATGTTGACAGTGACATGCCGTGATTGTACTCTGAGTCAGAAAAATGTTTACAAGTGGTACAGGTTTTTCCAGGAGGTCGAGAAAATGTGAATAATAACGCCCTTCTGGACTCTCCAGCACATCAACAACAAATGAAAATGTTGAGAAAGTGAAGGAAATTGTTATGGAAAATCGTCGCAGCGGAGTTCTTTCTGAAATTTCTGAATTTTGACCAAAAAACCGTCGCATAAGAATTTCTCAGATATTGTTGAACGAAGTCAATGGCGACCAGATTTGCTTTAAACGGTCCTAACTGGTGACGAACCATAAGTATATGGTTATGATATCGAAATAAATCTCTAATCGTTCCCATGGAAGAACCCAGGAGAGCCAAGACCAAAAATATCACGCCAAGCTCAATCAAATGACAACGTTTTGCTCACAGTTTTCTTCGATTACCGTGGCTTAGTGCATCAAGAGTTCTTTGCACATGTCAGTACGGTCAACAAGGAGTATGATCTTGCGCCGCTTGCGAGAAGCAATATGAAGAAAACATCTGTTATTTTGGAAAAACATTTCATGACTTCTGCATAACGATAATACACTTGCTCACTTGTTATTTCTTGTTCGTAATTTTTTGCCAAAAACAACACCGTAACCGTGCCTCGGCCACCGTATTCACTACATTTGGCGCCCTGCGAATTTTTATGTTCCCAAGATTGAAAAGACCCAAGAAAGGACGGCGTTCCGCGACGATTTTGGGAAAAAACCGATCCGC